ATCTGGATCAGATCCATCTATCCCCAGATCTGCCCTAAATTACTATTTAGATCTAGATTTTGCATATTAATCTGAATTTTAGATCCAATACTTGGATCTATACCCAAGTCCGAATTGGATTCAAATTTCGGATTCAAATCCAAATTGGGTAAATTCTCATTCTATTCATAGAGTTAGATCTAGAAACTTAGGTTTAGTGAGCAAGACTATGGTATAATCACTATTCCTCACCAATTTATATTGTGCGGGATGGAAGGTAAATACCACCCTATATGTGATGAATTAAGTGTACAAACTACTTGATAGTGTGATCACACAGATTCCATAAGGTCACCCCACGTAATATGTATAAAGTGTGCATGGTAGAATATGGGGATGTGCCCATAAGCCACTTGACACTGAACAATGTTAAATCCAAGAAGATCTTTGATGAAATTATCTTTGATTTGTGCTTTAAACAAGATCAATTACAAGTTGATAGAAGAAGTGGGATCTTTGATGAAATTATCTTTGATTTGTGCTTTAAACAAGATCAATTAAAAGTTGATAGAAGAAGTGGATACCACGGAATTACAACGAATAAGAAAATAAGTCCACAAGAACAAAAGTTCTCCTTATGTATTGCTAATTGTCTTGGCTTAAGATCTCATAAAATCAAACAATTTTAAAAATGATTTAAAAGAAATCAAACTAAAGGTTTTGAAAGATTCTTAAAAAAGGCAAACTAGATTTAAAAGAAAAGAAGAAATAACTTACTTGGCAAGTCTGGGCCGGCACTCAGAGCTGTGGCCCGGATCGAACTTATGCTGCATAGGCATCTTTCTCCTTCGCCTTGAATTTCACTTGAACTAGAGAATTTATTGTATACATTCTCATGTATTTATTTTCCTGCAAATGTTTAATGTGGATTCTGCATTGCGACCCAACTTGGTGAACATCCTAACAAATCTCTGATGTGTGTATGTGTGAGTGTGTGTATATGTCAACCTTATACTATAGAAATAAGGCGCACTTCAAAAACTCACTAGATAAGGCTGCATTGAGGCCAATAAACTCTCCAATTGATGATTTCGACCTCGAGATGTACGGATGTGGGAGGAAAAAAAAAGATTGTGATTCTTGAAAACAATGTATCTTGTAATGTATTATCTGGACAGACCATTTTCAAGAATCTTAAGTATTCATAGGTATGCTCGATTTTCATGTGTTGTCTGCTGAGCGTTCTTTCGTACATTTGATGGACCAATTAGAATTCAAAGCATATCCAACTTCCTTCGATGCCCTTATGAGCTGCGATGGTGTCAAGCCATCGTTCTGGCTCTTTCATATGGTTAATAGCTGATGTGACATTTCCTCGACGAATCCAAGGTCAACAATCGATTATGTATTGATATTTGATATATCAGTACCTTTCGACACGTGTCAGTCCGTACTGACACGCAACATTGGGCCGTATGTCTAGGTTGTTTCCTTCTCTGCAGAAAAGACCAGAGCCAATAGCTAAAGGGTGATATTACATTTCATGAGTCACATTACGTCATTATTTAACTGACAAAATTTAACAATGTTTGTCTTATTAACACATCAAGGAGATTATAAATTGTTTGGGTCCATGGGTAGAACAACCTTGTATGTAGAATTAAAGTTTTGATATTCTACACTAACCATTTTAGTTAGATAGTGTTGATCTAACACACATTTTAGGACCGGTGTGCTGTGTATACAGGTTTGTAACCTTAAACACTCCAATTAAGGCATACCACTAAATTTTATCATAAATGTAAGTTTGATATCAAAAATTCTTAGGATGGCTTGAGAATCTATTTTCATATCTACGTATAAAAATTTAAACTTTAAAAATAGCTTAAATCGCGTAGGTCTATAAACACATGAAAATCTTAAAAATAGACGGTCCAAATAATGTGTTGCAAGGTGCA